TTTATCACGTGGAAAATGGTTGCTAGCTCTGAATCAATATATCATTCTATCTGCTAGCATTAAGAAGAGCTTTACAAACTTGAGCATCATTGCTGATCCACATGAACAGCTTATTTTTAGATCTTCTAAATGCAACCAATCAGTGATTTATCATATGTGGACTGAAAGTTCAGTGTATTTCAAGAAAAAAAGATAGCTCCTTTGTTCAAACTTCTACCACTTTGGCTACTTTAATTCTGAATCAACTAAGTACTTCTTTTCATTTGGTATAAGAATGTCAATAAAGCACAAGACATTAGTTTCTGTCTTTCAAGATGGTTTAATCACTTCAATTATACTTCTATAACCATGGAATCCCTATTAAAAAAAAAAAAAAAAAAAAAAAAAAAAAAAACACTCCCTATAGCATAGTACATATAAAACAAAACAAAGTCACACTCCACTCTGGAGACATTTAATGGACTGCTTCCACTGACAAAGAATTAATCCTTCCATTAGAAATCATTTCCATTAAAATGAAATTCCCTTTGTATAACACACACAGCTAAATTTGTAAAGTTTGTAAATAACTTTCATTTTGCAATGGTTAATGAAATGGTTCATACTATCAGTCTGAAATCCTTATGGGGTGTGTGTGTGTGTGTGTGTGTGTGTGTGTGTGTGTGTGTGTGTGTTTTCAGAGACAGGATCTTAACCTACCACCCAGGCTGGAGTACAGTGGTAAGATCATAGCTCAATGCAGCCTCAAACTCCTGGGCTCAAGCAATCCTCCTACTTCAGCCTCCTGAAGAACTGAGACTATAGGTGTTTGCCACTATGCCTGGCAAGTTTTTTTTATTTTTTTTAGAGAGAGTTTCACTCTGTTGCCCAGTCTAGTTTTGAATTCTTGGACTCTAGCAATCTTCCTGCCTCGACCTCCCAAAATTCTAAGATTATAGGCATGAGCCATCAGCCTGGTCCCAGGAATGTGATATTTTAAATGGATTAACCTCTGTATAAAAATTACGATAATCAAGATTTGGAAGTACTTGAATTTGATAAGCTATTTTAAATTATACAGTTTTAAAATGAATGTTTATATGATCCAAAAACTGATTTCTATGAGTAAAATTATTCCTACCTTGAGTTATTAAGTATCTTAGATGTAAAAAGCATGTAATATTTTTAAAAATTTAATTACCAGAGCTATTTTGAGAACGAAGAAATGTAGGCAATTACAAAATATTTCATTTTTATTTTGTCAAAACTACAAATCTTAGCCAAAAAAAAAATACGTTAAAAAATAGAAAATGTAGAATAAAATCTCCATTTTAGCTTTACTGTTAGAGAAGACCATATCATCTCTGTAGTTTTCATTCAGATCTAAACAAAATCGTCTAATTTCATGTGGTTATGATTCTGTCTCATTATAAAACTAGATGAATAAAAGAGACTTTGATCTGCAAAGAGCTGTTCAAACTTTAGTAAGAAATGTTAAGTATATTAAAAATATAAACACTATGGTTTATTTGAGCTTTATTGTGTACTAAATAAAAGTAAATATTTGCTAACTCAGTTTTAGCTTCAATGCTTCTAACATTTATAAATACCATTTTTTATTGTTTGCCGATTCTACTAACATGAAGGAAAAAAAAGTGAAATAGAAGCCTAAGTGAGAAAAAACAAAAGACTATAATTTTCCGGCTCACATTCTAAACATGTTCTCAATGGAGAATAGGTTAAGTACATACATATTTTCTAACAAATAAATGGACTGCCTGTGATAAAAGGCAACTAAGTTAATAAGTTAATAGTTTCCTAATTAGGATCTTGCAGTTTTACTGTAAAGAACAGTCATCTGTTGGCTTCAGAAAGATCTAAAATTAGCTGGGCCCAGTGGCTCATGCTTGTAATTCCAGCACTTTGGGAGGCCTAGGTGGGCTGATCACCTGAGGTCGGAAGTTCAAGACTAGCTTGACAAACATGGAGAAATCCTGTCTCTACTAAAAATACAAAATTAGCCAGGTGTAGTGACACACACCTGTAATCCCAGCTACTCAAGAAGCTAAGGCAGGAGAATCGCTTGAACCCAGGAGGTGGAAGTTGAAGTGAGCTGAGATCGCACCACTGTGCTCCAGCCTGGGCAACAAGAGCAAAACTTTGTTTCAAAAAAAGAAAAAAGAAAGAAAGAGTTAATATCTAAGCATAAGCCAATAATAAATGAAAATACGATATAATACTGAACCCCTAAGAAAGACAGGGCATATGTTTTACAAAACTCAAACTGAAAGTCAGTAATGGATCTCATAAACTGGAAAGATTTTATATATTTTATTTCAGACAAAAAGTTATTATTGAGAGTAGATGAATAAGCAAGATATAAACCTATAACTAAAGGTTTTCTCTTTACCTATTTTATATGAAATTGAAAATTTTAAGCAAAATTTTATGATGCATGCAGTTACTCCCTAGAAAGAAAGTTGGAAAAGACACTTCCAGCAGAGCTTCTCAGCACTTAAGATGCTTATGAATCAAATGGAGATCATGTTAGGATGCCGATTTTGATTATTTGGGTCTGGGCTGAGCCCCAAGATTTTGTATTTCTTACAAGACCCCTGATGATAGCAGTGTTGTAGTCAGAGGACCACAGGCTGAGGAATAATAGCCTCTACATACTTTAAGTGAAAAGGCACAAATTCTTAACCTTCTTGCCACATTGAGCATTTACACTTGTGTACAACATGTACATTTACATTGAACATTAGTAATCATAGAGAAAATAATCCTATTTTTCTTGGATAAGAACTACAAAATTAGAAGACTTATTCTAAAGTTCTATCATCATTAGGCAGCCCATGTCTTGGTCTAGCATCTCAGTGCTTTCCAGGAAGGAACGCGGGATTAGACCTAGACTGGACATATTGCAAGAAGCATCAAGCATCACTCTTGTGGAGGTGGCCCATCACCCATAGATCCACTGTTAAATGGGGAATGCTGAACCAAGAGCTTGGGCAACCGTGAAATCCTTTCATGCAGTTTCATTGTTGTACATCTTGAACATTGTCTCTTCCTCCTTTTGGACAACATTAATTTTTTAAATGTATTCTACTCAATTTCTGCATCAATTTTATTAAATTGAAATTTAGAATTAGTGTTCCAACCCTCCAATCTTTTTTGACCCATATATTTTGACTTTTCTAATCTAAACTTGGAAAATCTATCTAGTATCTTATTTTTTGAGGCTTTTTCTTAATTTTTAATTGATAGACTATATATATATATATATATATATATATATATATATATATGGAGTACATGTGATAATTTAATACATTCATATAATTTATAAAGATCATTGTAGTGTAATTGGGATATCCTTCACCTTAAACATTTGTCTTCTCTTTATGCTAGAAACATTCAAAATATTTTCTTCTACCTATTTTGAAATGCACAATAGATTATTATAAATTATAGCAGCCTACCGATCTAACACTAGATCTTATTTCTTCTATTATATTGTATGTTTATACACACTCGTCAACCTTTCTTCATCCTTCCCTCCACACTACCCTTCCAGGCTTCTGGTAACCACCAATCTACTCTCCATCTTCACGAGATCCACTTTTCTAGTTTCCATATGTAAATGAGAACATCCAACATTTGTCTTTCTGTACTTGGCTTATTTCACTTCAGATAATGACCTCCAATTCCATCCATGTTGCTGCAAATGACAGGATTTCATTCTTTTTTACGCTTGAATAATATTCCACTGTGTATATAAACCACATTTTCTTTTCCATTCATCAATTAATGGGCACATAGGTTGATTCCAAATTTGGCTATTGTGAATAGTACCCACAATAAACATGGGAGTGCAGATACCTCTTCAATACTGACTTCATTTCTTTTGGATATATACCTAGTAGTGGAATTGCTGGATCATATGGTAGTTCTATTTTTAGTTTCTTAAGAAATCTCTATATAGCTTTCCATACTAAATTACATTTTTTCTTTCCTTTTGTTATTCCTTCTCCATGTGCCTTTAGCAAGGCTATAACCACGTTCAAATAAGTGTGCAAACCAGAGATGTTAGAGCCTTAAAGGGGTGTTAAGCACTCTGCTTTTCCTCTCCAAGTGATATCTGGAAGCAAGTGAGAGTTCAAGTATGGGTACACTGTTCTGAGTAAATGGCCTAGACTACACAGCACGTGCAGGAGGACACATAATGGTTTTAAAGTGGATTCACACATGTAAGAATTTTTTGAGAAATAGATTCTGTCCTGTGGAGAAGTAATATTCAAATTAAATTTGTAGTACCTGTGTGCTGTGTGGTATCACAAAACTGTTCCTTCCACCCGCAGTGCATTCAGATAGCTAATTTAGTGGCCATGGTGGTCTGGCTTCAGACTAAGTTTTATGGACTATGCCCACTGGTTTCTCTGAGAGTTCCCAAATAATTTGCCATCAGCCCAAAGTTCCATGACACAGAATACCATTGGATATCTCCAAAAATAATAAATCCAGAAGTCAAAAAAGTTTCCAAGTGAAATCTACCATATATTTAACTGTTGGGATAGCCCTTTTCATAATGGCATGCATGAATATCATCCTTGATGACCATTTGTCCCATGAATGGATGTATACCTGGTATGCATTGTTCTTTGAAAAAGAACAATGGTTATGTCTTTTTCTTTTTGTGCACACCCCCATGTAAACCATATAATTCTCATTTATTTGGAGATCAACAAATGTTTGTGTATGAAAATATACATTAGTACCAGGTTTCTGCAGTTTTACCTTCACGTTCAGGATCACTGCAATGATACACAGTATCTCTCTACCAATGAGAACCAAAAACTATTTTGCTAACATATTACTTATTATCTTTTTTTTGTAGACATGACCATTGAACACATACAGACTAGAAACCCTACAGGTAGATGGAGAAGGCCCAAGTGAGTGCTTCATCCTGTATCATAGACTAATTTCAGACTGCATCAGAAGACAACCTTAATACTCACTTCTTCCATATAGTTTTTCAGTGAGTATCCTCCTCCACAGGAGGCTTCTCCCTAGAAGAAAAAGAAGAAGAAAAGAGGTTGAAAAAGTCAGGAGAAGGAGAGAAAAAGAATGAAAGAATCATAGAGAGTGAGATCTGAAAGCAACACCAAATATTTGCTATTCTCCCACCTTCTCAGTTGATATTTGTGGAATTGTTAGTTTGCCAACTTCTTACTCTTTGAAAAAGATAAGATTTTTTGCAAAACAACAATATATCAAGTGGATCCTTTAAAAATATATTTTGCAAAACAACAATATATCTTTCAAGTGGATCTTTTTAAAATATATTTTATTTTATTTTAAGTTTCAGAATATATGTGCAGGATGTGCAGGTTTGTTACATAGGTAAATGTAAGCTGTGATGGTTTGCTGTACCTATCAACCCATCACCTATGTATTAAGCCTTGCATGCATTAACTATTTATCCTGATGCTCTTCCTCCCTCCACCCCACCAAGAAGTCCCAGTGTCTGTCTGTTACTCCCGTCCCTAGTTCCATGTGTTCTCATTGCTTAGTTCTCACTCACAAGTGAGAACATGTCATGTTTGGTTTTCTGTTCCTGTGTTAGTTTGCTGAGGATAATGGCTTTCAGCTCCATCCATGTCCCTGCATAAAACATGATCTCATGTTGATCTTAATTCATGCTAACAAATGAGTACCTAGAGTAATTAACTAAATCTTGGAACAGAATGTTAAACAAATTGAATAACATTTTCTGTTATTAATGTTATAAATATAGTCTTAGATTAAGAAAAGAAGTCACAGATTCTGTATCTATAAATTTGTGTGAAGACCTAATACATGGACTTTAAAATATTTTTTTAGATAGAGGACAGACCATTGACCTTTATCTCTAGTCTTTGCATTAAGTCTTTCTTAACCTATTAGTATGTAATTAGTAAATTCTCCATCATTTCGTCTTTACTACCACTTCACTAAGCACTAGTAATCACAGATTCAAATCATTGAAATTTATAAAATCAAATTAAACATATATCCCAAACTCATCTCAACATTGGTGGTCAAAATTGTCAAACAACTTGGTGTTTTGGATAAGTTATACCTTTTTATACTCCATGATGAGAGACATTTGAAAACAAATTCTGAAATATCATAAAATGATAAATTCTAGGGTACCATATGTGTTTAAAAGATAAATAAATGTGCTAAAAGCTTACATTTGTTTAAATGGAATCTTTTCCACTTTCCAAAGACCAACACACATATTATCTCATTGAGGGCAAGACAGTCTCAGGCCAATTTGATACTTAGGGAAATTGAAGCTAAGAGGGGTAGAGTGACGTGCCCTAAGTCAAGGAGCAAGGGAAAGCATTGCTTGGACAGGATTCTAGTCTAACACTCTTCTTTCTTTCTTTCTTTTTTTTTTTTTCTGGGCTCACTGCAACCTCTGCCTCTGAGTTCAAGTGATTCTCCTGCCTCAGGCTCCCAAGTAACTAGGACTACAGACATGCGCCACTATGCCCAGCTAATTTATTTTATTTTATTTATTTATTTTTTAATGGAGACAGGGTTTCATCATGTTGACCAGGGTGGTCTTGAACTCCTTACTTCAGGTAATCTGCCTGCCTTGGCCTCCCAAGGTTCTGGAATTATAGGTGTGAGCCACTGCACCCAGACTAGTCTAACACTCATCTATGTCACTGAAATACAACAATTTAAAACATACAAAATTCAATTCATTTTAATTTTTTAAAAAATTGTGATGTATTCCTACAAGCACTTGGGGAAGAGAAGCGGAAGCATGCTCATGTCAAAACAAAAATTGAGCCAGAAATAAAATGCTGGTATTCCCCACACCTTAGAAATCACAGGTTAAATCACAAAGGGGGTAATATTCCTTTCTAAATCATATTTCCACTAACAAAACATTAATATGCCATAGTTTAAATGTTTCCAAATGTTTCCAAGCTTGCAGGATTTTTAGTAGATAAGATAGTGAAAGAGATGAGATAGTTCTATTTGTTCAAAGCATAAAGTATTGGGAAAAATTAAGTTCATATAAATCCCTCCAACTGTGAGGAATATTAACTCAAAGCACACAGAGAAAGCTGGGAACTTACTTCAGATAAACTGTTTCTTAGAGGCAAACCTGCCACACTGTCTCCCCCTCATTTAGACAACTAATCTGGGAGTGCTATGGGCTGTTCCCATGTAGTTCTTCCATGACAGAAGCAGCCCTTTGTGTATGAATCATCCTTTCTCCTTTGCCTGGTGGTTATGGGTAAGAGAGCGATGTGGCAAATTGCTCCAAGTTACAGATGTGCTTTCTGGAGCAGCCAGCATGGGAGGCTTGCCTGGTCGGCCTCTGCACATTTGAGGGCTAACGGTGAGAGGACGGTGGAGCGCAGTTTCTGGGAGCTCACTGAAGAAGGCAGTGTGTTTCCTTGCAGCTGGAGTGTATGTTTTTTCCCATTTGTCTAGACATTTGCAGTCTTCTGCTAAGACTTGGTGATGACTGTGGGTTTTCTCAATGATTGAATATAAATAAAGCAAGCTTCTTGACAGCCTTGCTTATTTCCTTAGCGTCAGTGTCATATCTACACCACAGGAAAGGAGGAACTTACACAATACCATTTGTTTCAAGGGCCATACAACCAGAGTTTGTTGTACTGCCATTCACGAAATGGATGACACCAATGAATGAGGAACATAAAGTAAGAGACTCTTGGAGGGTCTGGTGCAGTGGTTCATGCCTGTAATCCCGGCATTTTGGGAGGCTGAGGTGGGCAAATCACCTGAGGTCAAGAGTTCGACACCAGCCTGGCCAACATGGTGAAACCCCGTCACTACTAAAAATACAAAATTAGCCAGGCATGGTGGTGTGCCTATAATCCCAGCTACTCAGGAGGCTGAGGCATGAGAATTGTTTGAACGTTGGGAGGTGGAAGTTGCAGTGAGCTGAGATCGCACCACTGCACTCCAGCCTGGGCAATGGAGCAAGACTCCATCGCAAATGAAAAACATAAAAATAAAGAGTCTTGGAGGAAAATACATAGGAAACTAACATTTTGAAGAATGCAAGTGTGGTACAAGGCCAAGTGGACAAAAGAAAGAATAAGGCATCAGGATCTCTGATTCATAGGGTCAGAAGAAATGGCCCCAGTCAAGGGGCTTGATCCAGTACATCTGTCTCAGGTTCCCCATTTCCAACACCAGACCAGTGAAATGCCAGCATTCCCTCCTTCTTCTTGCTGGGAGTGCTGATGAAATAAAATCCCCTTCAAAGCACAAACCTATCAGTTTCTGTTGCCCTTTTCTTAATTCTTAAGAATTGACATTTTAAATATCAAGTCATTCTAACAACATAACATTTTGGTAATTATCTGGGAATGAATGAAAAATGCCATAATGCAATTTCCCTTGAAAAAGAGGGGAGAGAGGATACAACGAAAGGCAGGCAGGGGCATGTGAAGGAGGAAAAGGAAAGAACACATGGAAATTATGTCTTAGAAAAAAAAGAAACAAGAAAAAATATTTCCTGAAATGTGGTTTCACTTATTGTGAATATTTAATATAATCACTGCGAGATAAGTGTTTAAATGAAAATTAGAAAATATTAATATATTGTAAACTCAGAGAAAAGGGGACAAAGAGGCTGATGTGATTACTGCTTTACATATGGCATGGGATGATGGCTGTCAGAGATGCAGGCTCTTGTCATTCCCTTGGTTATTTTATAGTTAAGGAAACATTCTCAGTGAGGTGGAAAATCGTAGAGAGTGAGGGAGGACCAGACCCACACTGCCCTCAATCCATTGCCATTATTATACCATGCTTCTGTTGTTTCTATCAATAAGTATTTTCCACTTATCTTTTACTAATCTTTAGACAAAATGCAAACAGATCGGCACTTGTGTGTCGGGTACATTTATTCACAAACATTATATGTCTAAGACCTCTGAAGTTAATTTTCTTTAAAAAATTCAGTGAGAACCCTACCTCTACCAGCATAATTTTTCTTCTCATCTTTTTTCAAGGAAATGAAATAATAATTCTAACCTACAGAGCAGCCTCTTAAGAACTACCTGAGGTATGTGGAAACCATGGAAGAATGGGAGCTCGATGTAAATGGCCAGGGCATTTCTGAACCCAAGGGACCCATAAAACTTCACCCATCATTTTTTCTACAGGTATTTATTAAGCACTTGTGTGCCATATACTGTGTTAGGTGTTGGGACAAAGAGCTGAACAAGAGTTAATTACTACTATAAATAGTTTACTTGAAAAAACATGTACAAGTGATTAGACTGCGAGCAAAAGTTATTTGCTACCAGTAAGATCAAGATACTATGGGAAAAAGTAAGATGAAAAGCATCTCGTCTTTCATATTTTTAACAATCATGTAATGAGCACTCCCATGTGCTGAGAACTGTTGTAGCTTCTGCACACATGTGATGAAGGAGACAAAGTGGAAAGAGTAGTGCCTGAGCAATACATATATTTACTTGTTGTTGTTTTGTTGTTGTTGTTATTATTTAGTCCTGAAGTCTTAGTCATTAGTCCAGATAAAGGAGCTGCTTACAGAGGAAGACTCATACTAAGAAGAAGGAAAATTTGGGGTAAGGGCCCAGACACAACAGTGGAAATATGTAAAATCACAAGCATTACAATGAAGAGCACCAATTATGCCATGCACTGAAATGTATGCTGTATTTTCAGATAGATTTAATCTTAAACTAATCTAATTATAAAACTGACCTCATAAAAATCAGTTAGCAATTTTGATTTTTACTTTTTGAAATAAGCCCTTAAATTCTCCTCCATTAAGCTCTTTTAAAAAAATCAATAGCTGTCACTTTGGAATTTGTAAAGTACCTGCGTAAATTCTCTAAGTTCCATGAAATATGAACATGAGCCACATAATTTAAAGCAAACATGTAATGTATTCTTTTAAAAATAAATCAACCTGTGTCTTTGCAAAATGACTAAATGGCTAAGGTGACTAACCTCCTGACCTGTGACTCAGATAGGAGCATGGAAAAAAACTGAT